TAAATTTACTTAACCAAAATTCAAGTGAACCTAAATTTAATTCTACAAGTTTTCAATTCATATGTTATATCAAAATCCATGTCAAACCTGTGAATTTTTAAGAGACTTATCAATTAGAAATTTGTTGCTAAATTTTAAATTTTATTTTCACAAGAAAATAAATAACTTTTTAATGTATTATTTTTTAAATGTAGCAATTTATGCCGATCTTATTAATTGTTTAAATTAAATTAACATGTACTTTTCCTGTGCAATTAATCTAATATTTCAAAAAGGTAAAGGGAATTCAGCAATTTTTTTTTCTCAAGAAGTTTATAATGAGGAACACTATAATTTTTGCATGATATTTCATATCTTCCACAAAAGAAAATTCAAAGTGTATCTTAGAAACAACTTTAAGAAATGTTTTAAAATAAACTTTATGAATCTAATTTAGCATTTAAGGCTTTAAGCCTCGTTTGGGATAGATTTCTTACTGCTTCTTAAAACAACTCTTTTGTACAAATATTTTAACTTTTATTCTAAAAAACTACTTTAAGAATGAATAAGAAAACCGTCTCAAAAAAAAGCCTTAGGCTTTCTATGGACGGTTTTTTACTGCTTCTTAAAGCAGCTTCCTTGTATAACAATTTTAATTTTTACACTTTTTTTTTAACAGAAACAAAAATTTTATTAAAGAAAGAGAGAGGTTACAAGAGGCTGAAATCAAAGTAAAAGTCAAAAAAGAAAATACAATAAATCAGAGGAGGTAGGCTCAGTAATTTACCGAGGCTTCCAGCTCCCCGACACTACGCACCGACCCTCCAATTTGGTGAAAAACGTCGCTAACAGCCAACCAGCCAAGGAATAAATACCAAAGGTTGCCAAGAGCCATAACACCAAGGAGCGAGCCCCGGCCACATCATCGCCTGTCACAACCAACACCAACCAAAATTCGGACGAATCAGCTTGAAATAAACCAGTCACAGTGCAAATAAAAGGAGCCAATAAAACTAACGACCCCGACGACCTCTCCCACGAGGTCTACCACGAGCACCGACAAAAACCGGACGATCACGAACCATTTTGAAATCATATCCAGGGTCCGAACCACCACCATGATCCGAAGAGGAATCAAAATCAGCTTCCGACGAACAGTGAAGCCAATCCAGGTGAAGAGGCAAATCCATCCCAGAATTATCACCCACATGATAAACCATATCATTTGTCTCTATTAATTTCACAGGCACATCCACAAAAGTGTTAGGAACCAATCCAGCACCTGGAATAATCTGACTTCTAACAACCTCACCACCCAGAACAGCCTTAGAAGACTGCACCTCAACAGCAGGTAGGGAAGAAACAACAGAATTCAAACCACTATGCATAACATCAGAGACAGGACCCCCAATCCCCACATCGACAGACGCAGGGACACAATCAGAGGGTGAGCCCTCTCTAACAAAAATACAATCAGCCGTCGAATTAACCTTCTCAGAAGCAGCTATGGCAACACCATAATCTATTCCCTTCACCACACCCACATTTTCAAAAGAAAAAACGGGTGAATCAGACGAAGTCACAGTAACCGAATTACCATAATCTAAACCAGAGCCCACAATAACATTATTAACCCCTAAACTATTCTCAGCATCCCTAATAACAGAATCCACTTTACCCGAACTAACATCAAAACCAGAGTCAACCAAACCAACTAGGGAAACAACACACCCAGCGACCTGGCCAGCATCAACAGAAAATGGTGTAGAGGAGGGATCGATTAAAGGTAAAGGGGCAATAACAAGGTCAGAAGCTGGTTTCACCGGCGATGGAGTCGAATCCACAGCCGGGCGTAAATGCGGAAATAATTTAATGCAATCCGACTTTTTATGACCAACAGCTTTGCAATGTATACAACAATTTGGCATTCCCTCAAAAACAACTCGCTAGATATACCCCAGATTCTTCGGACCAAGCCAAACAGAGTCCGGGAACGATTTGGAGATGTCGATTTCTACCAGAATACGAGCGACTGAAGGTCGCGAACCAACGGCCGTGGCATTATCGGTGTGAATCAGGCGACTAAAAAGCGAACCCAAACCAAAAGGATTTTAGGAGAGAACAGATGAGGACGAAGCCCAGGAAAAGAAATCCACACCGGAACAATCGGAGACTCCTCTGACATATCAAGTAGAGGAGACCACTTGATCACTTTCATGAAACAACCAAAAACGAAATAGGATCGATGCGCAAAAACCCTCCCATAGTCAAGATCATTAGAAAGTTTAATCAACACATTCGATTGATCCAACAAAGTCATAGAGAAATCCCCCGAGAGTTTAAGATTGAAAAAGAACCTACGAATCGAATCCAAAGGCGGCCGTTTAAGCGGAAACTTCCCCACTAAAGCAAACTCAAAAGGTTTCGCAAGATGCAAAAACTCATCCTCCGAAAACCACAAAGTGGGCAAACCCCGAATCGTAGACACACGAAAATTCGGAAAAACCTTAGATGCATTCGAACCAGACGAAACATCTTTGAAGGATTTGGAATGCTTACCCTCAAGAAAGCCAGGATCTAACCATTTATTTGCCATAAGAAAAGAGGAGCGAGAGAGAGCCGGCGACGGCAAGGGCGAAAGCTCTAACCGAGCGAAAAACCCTAGCAGACGGGAACAAAACATCATAAATTAATTTTTACACTTAAAGATATTTTAAAAAGTAGGAAGAAAGATGTCTCAAACAAAGCCTTAGTTTGAGATAGCTTTCTTATTTCTTTTTAAAATAATATTAATGCAATTTTTTTTTTAAATTAAAATTTTTTTACTAAAAATCTGCCTTAAGAATCAGAATAAAAAACTAACCCAAACAAAACCTTCCGAATAATTTGAACCTAAAAAGTCACCTTGTTAATAGAAAAGTAACATTTGCCAGCAAACAAAATTATATAGCAATCTATGGCATCATGCAAACTCTTGTTGAAAAGCGGACAGCTTAATGAAATTTTAAAAGAGAGCAGCAATCAAAATAATAAAAAATGTACAAACACCTGTAGAAATTTTATTAAATAAAGCCGGTTAAACTAATTTTAAAATGGGACAGGTAGAGAAGGCCAATCCTGCTTTGATCAGTGTAAGCTCGCTTTGATCAGAGATAGACATTCTATGATATTATGTGTTAGTTTAGTCATTTAATTGTTTAGTTGTATGAATTGTAATAAGTAGTTTGTATCTATAGGTATGAATCTTAGGTTTTGTTTGGAATGATTTTTTTGTTGTTTTAAGAACTAGAAGGAAAGTCATTTCAAACGAAGACTTCGGCTTCATTTGGGACGGCTTTCTTTTCCTGCAACTTTCTAATACAACAATAAAAATTTTGAACTAAAAAATTGTTTTTCACAAACGAAACCTAAGGCTTCGTTTCAAATTGATGTGGGCTTTATTCATACTTAAATCAAATCTCTCTTGGTGTTGATAGGTTCGCCTTATCGAGATAATCAATTTGGCTATAAATTTGTTAGAATCAGAGCTTTGATGCTCATGAATTTAATTTTGAAAATTTTTAATTCAAATATATTTCAAGATTGATGCCTGATTATATCAAATTAGATTACTAGAAAATTGTTTTAAGAATCAAAAGAAAAAAAAAATAGTCTCAAATGAAGCCTAAGAGAAGCAACAACATCACAATATTCTTCATTTATTGTCATGATAAGATTAAATAATAAGCAATAATGTTGGGCATGCAAAACTAATCCCTAAACATCACCATCAATTTATTTATATATGTTTTTTTTAATTTAATGTCGGCAATTAAAAACTTCAGTAAGAGGTGACCTGGTGCATACAGGCCACACCATGTCATGAAATTGGATGATTGAGTAGGTTTATATGCCCAAATTAATTAGTATACTTAATTACCTTCTTGTATGAATAGAGATCATTATTTTTCTATAGCTTAAAAAACATTTATGTCAATCTATGTAGCAATAGTCTATTAACTTATTATTTAACTTTTTATCCAAACCACCAACTCCATAATTTTAAACTTCATGGAACATTAATTCAAGACTCTTTCAAGCAAATTATTTTAAGAAATTTCTTCATTGTTCACATATTTAAAGTCACCTCACATGCATGTGACTCATATGAAAATCATCTACAATTGAGAGTTTGATTGCACATTGCAATTAATCCCCTTTTAGATTGATGAGATTAATTCTAATATAATTATAGAGATTATTTCGAAAGTTGATAGAATCAATCTCAACCATCGAAAGGGTATGATAAGGTTGAGATATGTAATATATATAAGGGATATTTGGGATAATTTTATTTTTTATTTGTTATGGAATAAAGTATATTTGATATCTTAAAAATGTTATTTGTATTTTTATTGTAGATCAAATAATTTGATTTATTCAATGCTTAGGTGGTCACAAGGAAAAATGATAGTGGTGGCTGATGATGGCTGTTAATTATTTTAAAAATATAACAAAATTAACATCTTTTAAGTTATGTTGGAACATTTCTAAAAATTAAAAATTAAATAGTTAAAAAATACTATAAATGATTATATTTTAAAAAAAAAGATCATTAAGATGCCCTTAATTACTTAATCTCTCAATTGTAAAAGAGTTTTAAATTCTATATTGGACATTATTTAAATTTTAATTTTTATTTATGCAGAACTTTTTATACTATCTATCCTTTTACTTATATCATTTATTTTATCTTTTTAATTATAATATATTGAGACACAATAAAAAATATGTTAATAATACCATAAAATATTTGAAGGTTATTTGCTATAATAAAGAATTTGAGATTTATTTATTTATTACATTGACTTTATAATATTTATACATAACATTTTCAACATTGTTAATTTCCCACCCTAAATCTATGATGCTTCTCTCTCCAAGTAGTCTTGTTAAGGTAAGCACAGTTGTGGCCAAACTAAGTTAGCTTCCTCTCTCTCTCTCTCTCTCTCTCTCTCTCTCTCTCTCTCGGTAAAGGAGATATGGGAATCTGCAATTCTTCTTCTGCATGGAAGCAAGAGAGTGATGAAAACATAGTATATGTGGTCGGAGAGGAAGGTTTTGACTGTAATAATGGTGGTGGGATAAGGAGGCTGACTTCTCTCTACTCAAGACAAGGAAGGAAAGGCCCAAACCAGGATTCTGCTATTCTCTGTCAGGTTACTCTCCTTCATTAATAACCTACCAATTTGTAATATTAATTTGATCTTAATTATTTGGAGCCAATTCACACTTTATTTATTTAATTCTACATTGTAAAGAAACATACACTTTTTCCCTTTTAATGTAAAATTCATGTTAAAAATTTAATAAATAAAGGTTTCCTTTGGGATATCTTTAGACTTGATTTAGGACACCTTTCTTACTATTTTTTAAAGTTGAAATTTTTATACTAGAAAGCCGTTTTTAAAAACAATAAGAAAGTTGTCTCAAATAAAATCTTGGCTACTGTTTTTTCTCTACTCTTAAGAGATTTTCCTACTAAAAAATAGCTTTATAAAGTAGTAAAAAAATCGTCCCAAATGAAATCTAAATAAATATGATTGATTTGGTTGTACTGTTTTTACAATAAATTTATTAAAAAAAAGAATTTTGTAAGTGTTAAATTTATTTTAAACACTTTATTAGTTGAAAACGATGTGGGAGGTCCATTACAAATAGGCCTAAGAATATTTACAAATTGCATTCTATGCATAGAGCTAATTAATGAGTATTTAGCGAAAGCAATTAATACTCATGATTTCTTTTTTCTAAAATGATAGAGCATATCGTATTAGTTATAGCTCTTCGAAGCAAAGAAAATTAGAAACTATGAAATAAAGTAATTTTGCCTCACAAAATATTATTTAAAGAAAGAACAAAAAAGAATTCATTTAGTAGCTTATAAATAGAAATAATGAGTGTGCAATCATATCTAAAGTCTAAACTATTATTTATATTCATAATAATTGGGAAGGTTATAGTTCTCATATCAATCTTTAACTATATCCCATTGCTAATTATTTTAATAACTTTCATTACTCATCAACGCATACTTTCTCTATACTTATTTTCTAGCTTCGAAATATCACTATAAATATTATACTATAAAATTTTTATTTTAAAATTATTATTCATTTTCTTTAAATTTGAGGAAAATATTATCAACTTTTTTTATAGGTGCCAATGAATGACCCGACTCACCAGCCCAACTTGAAAAATTCATGTTTTGATTGACATGTTTAATAAACAGACAGAATCAAGTTGACATGTTTAATAAACAAGTTAGGCTTGGGTTGGGTTTTCTAATGTCTATTAAACAGATCAGGTACATATCAGGTTTAGGTTAACCCACGAACCCGCTTTAGACCTGAAAATGATATGTTTAATATCTTCTTTTTCCCTTAATTTATTTTACTTGTGGATATAATCTATTTATTTTTTATGAAATAAAATAAACTTTACAGATAATAAGTTATACATTTTATTAGCTTAAATAGTTAACGGGTCGGATCTGAGACATTTAGTTTGCTAGAGGTTCGGATTGGTCTTTTTGAACTATTTATTAAACTATTTGGGTCCAGGTTGACTGAATTCAAGTCGGGTCAATTTCAGGTCGAACTCGAATATGACCCATCAACCCATTTTGAGAACCCTACGGCCCTACCTCCACATTTTAAAATTTAATTCTACCCCTGATTATCTCAGTATCTTAAAATTGCTCAATGGATGTCTAAGAAATCCTTCTTAAATGTTTCACACAATGCAAATCAATTTAGGGCTATGGAGCTGAGGATGGAGTCTTCTGTGGAGTCTTTGATGGTCATGGCAAAAATGGCCACACAGTGAGCAAAATGGTCAGAGACTATCTGCCTTCTTTACTACTTAGCCATCGAAATGCAGTAACGGCTGCCGCCATAGACGGCCACAATCTTGAGAAATGCTCAGAAGATGGCGAAAATTGCCCGATTATTCTGTCGGGTTTATTCGAGGAGTGGAAGGAAGCAAGTATTAGCGGCTTCAAAGCCATGGATAGAGAGCTTAAGCTCCTTACCAACTTGGATTGTTCTTATAGTGGCACTACTGCAGTTACAGTCATCAAACAGGTTTCTGAAATGAATTTTTTGCTATTTAGTTCCCTGATATTGATAAATTTATTTTTTTTTTTAGTTTGTTGAGGATGGAGGATATTTGTCATTGATTGTAGGGGGAAGATGTAATTATTGCAAATCTTGGGGATTCGAGAGCAGTTTTGGGGACTGTATCTACAGAGGGTCGCTTAGAGGCAGTTCAGCTTACAATTGACCTCAAGCCTAGTGTGCCTCGTACGTACACCCTTTGTACTGCTATGTTGTGGTTTGGAGGTGATCTTGACCATTCGATTTTATTCTGATGGTCAGGATACAATTCACAAAAAATTAAATGATGTTTATGAAAATCATTTTAATTAAGAGATTGCTTGGTTTAATTTAAAGTAAAATGGGAGTAAAGTAATCCTTTTATATGAGTTTTAAAATATTGATTTTTGAGTGTAAAGAGTTTTATTTCATTTTTAGCTGAAGTAATATTCATGTTTGAGCAAAAATTATTTTCATGACAAGCAAGCTCTCTTATCGCTTTCTTTGGTAACCACCTCCATCACCACCCTCTCTTCCCATCCCTCAGAGCCCTCTGCCACCACCCGTTGCCAGCCACAATCATCGTTGACCACCACTTGCCACCGCTGGCGCCTCATTGCCCACGCCATCGGCCACCGCCGACACTAGCTATCAGCCACCACCATAATCATATGCATCCATCATTATCATCACTTTGAACTTTACATTACATTCAAACAATACTAAAATATTCTTTTTAGTTTCTAAAATGCATTCTCTGTGTAATGCATTCCTTCTTCAGCCAATCAAATAATCCATATGAGATTTTTTATGATATTATGGATTGATAGAGGAAGCGGAGAGAATAAGAAGCAGCAATGGTCGCGTCTTGGCTATGGAGGATGAGCCGAGCATACAACGCATATGGATGCCTAACAACAACAGCGCAGGCCTGTCAATGGCTCGTGCTTTCGGCGACTTCCAGCTCAAGAACTACGGCCTCATAGCCATTCCGGAGATCTCCCACCACCGTCTCACCCGCCAAGATCTCTTCATCGTTCTCGCCACCGATGGGGTACGTACGTAATGATCAGTTAATTCACACAGTTTTCATGATTTGCATAAATTTAAAAAAAAAATCAATAGTTGCAATGCACTATTTCAGGTGTGGGATGTGCTGAGCAATGAGCAAGTTGTGTCAGTGGTGGCATCTGCTGAGAAGATGAGCAGTGGGGAGGCAGCAAAGCTAGTGGTGGAAGCAGCAGCCAAGGCTTGGAGGCGCAAATTTCCTTCATCAAAGGTCGATGATTGTTCTGCTGTCTGCTTCTTCTTGCAAGAGAGAAGCTGAATAAAGAACATGTGTTATTGGGGAAAGAAAGCTGTATAAGAATAATATTATATAAGTTGTGTGAGGATGAGAAGGATAAAATTTATGAATATAGAAGTTAAAAGCACAAAAATAGAAGATCTTTTAATATTTTGTTGAGAAAAAAAAAAAGAAAGCCGGAGGTTTGGTCTGCTTTTCTTGAGCTTTAATATTTTATATTTATATAACTAGTCTTTCAAGTTTTAATTATAATATTCTAATATAATTTCTTTTTCTTGAAAGGTTTGGTAAATGTTGACAATTTTTGTGGAAGAGATAATATTTTACACTAGTTAAAAATCTGTTAGGCTTTAAGCATGAGAAATTTTAAGGTATGTAGAGAATACAATCCTCAAAAAATTATAAACCATATTAGCGTAGATCTTATAAAAAAATTCACCTCTAGTACAAAAAAAAATTGAGATAATTCACTCAAAATGAAAGAAAAAGAGGATTGAATTTTCGGGATAGCTAGGGAGATAAGGTCACTAATGAAGACATCCATTGGCCAAAAATATATTCTATATGGATTCAACATTCATAAACTTTGGCATCCAATAGTTACAATTAAAAAAAATCTAGAATATGTGAAATTAATAATCCACTCTTGTAAACTCATTAATAATTAACTTTTGTTTATGCTAGGTTTAATTGATTAAGTATTACACGATACATCAGAATCTAAATTGGAAGAGTTATTTTTTTAATCTTACAATAATTAATAACAAGAGCTACTAAATATCATCTATCAGTAATAAATAACAAAACATATTGTATAATTTCAAATATCAATGTACACATTAATATTCATTTTCAAAAATCATATATATTACTCAGGATCTACACAATCAAATCACCACTACTCTAACTTGAGTACAAAAGAAAAAAAATAAAAAAATAGAACCAGAAGAATCATGACCTGTCTCACACTCCTCCCCTACCCTGACCTAAAATTATTTAACCACATATAATGAGCTTAAAAAGCCCAGAAGGTCATCAAAACTTACAACTGAATTCAAAGCACAACAAAGGAGCAATATGCATGTCAACAGTCAAATCATAGCAGTTGCATTCATATAATCATTGAATCAGTGTGGAAACAATAAAATTCATATGAAGTTGTTATATAATCTATAAACAGTAAATACTACTGTACGAATGTCAGTAAAAAAGTAAATTAGAACGAGTATCAAATCTATAAAGCAATCATTATATCCGTAATACCTCAGTAAAGCGTATAAAGCATACAATCAAAACTTTAGTAAAGGCTGTTGAAATTAAATAAATACTGTAAAATCATATCGGAATGTACACATGCTATCAAATTATTATATATCACGTGCTCATTATATCACATGCTTAATATCAATACAATGAATTAGTAATATCAAATAGTATCAATATCTATAACAGTAATAGTAAAATTGAATGAGCCATAAATTAATGTGATAATAGTAAATATGTGCTGTAATAATTGTTAAGATAGTTGCTATTTGAAAAAAAAAAGGGGTCTTAAATTTTAATTTTTAAACTACCAATTCACCCCCCCCCCCTCTTGGTAGCCTTGGGACACTCACTTAGGCTTAACAACCTAATTACTAGATTCAACAATAATAAATACATATAATAATAAGAATAATGTATTAGAGATATATATATTTTTGTAATCACGCTAAACAAGTAAGAAGTCATATCTATCATGGTATTTTTCAGGATTAGTATCAGTGTTAGTAACCCATCGGTTCAATAAATAGAGTCGTCACTCTTTGCCCGTCGGCACAGTAATGATCTCTTTATAACCCCCAATCAATGTATTACGTGAATTAGTAGAGAATAACACCAAACTACAATATTTAAAAGAAAGTTTGTCGGCCCATCATCCTGTATAGATCAATCAATCTCCAACCAATAGGTCAACCAGTCTTTACTACTTTATTTCACACACACATGTTGTTATCATAATACTATAATAATAATATTGACAAGTTATTACTCAAGCACATATTTACATTTATTTTCAATACATTGTAGCAAATAATGCATAATTAAGCTTAATTAAGAAGATGGCAAAATATCAAAATGGTGGATAACAAAGAATCCTATTAGGCAAAAATGTACATTTGTAGAAAATTATTAAATTACAAGGGACTATGTAAAACTATATTTTAAGACTTTTATTGTACAACACCATTATTTTTAGAGGTTAAAATAATGTTTTAGGTCGAAAATAATCATTTTATTTGCAAAATAGCCACATGAAAAATTACAAATAAATACTCAAAATATTCATAATCCCGATCTTTATAACATACAAAAAATTACATGGTAAAACTTTTGTCAATACAAAGTTATTCACATTTTTTTATAACAAAAATATACATTTGATCAAAAAATATCAAAAAGAAAAAATCTTTGAAATCAAATATAAGGTAAAGGTTTCTTACAACGAGACGAGTAATTTTCACAACTGGCCCGATGGACAAAAATCGCACCGTGGCCTCCAAATCTAAACTTCTTCTTTCTCTTTCCTCACATATTCCTCTCATTTCCCTTAATAGATCTCTATTATTGAATTTGATAGAAGAAAAAAGTTTCTTAAAAAATAATGACTTTAGATATTTATAATAAAATATTATTATAATATTAATACAACTATTTAATTTATTTATTTTTAAAAGAAAATTCATACAAAACTATTTGGGACTTTAAAAATTACACAAAAATATACATACAATAAAACATGTTATTTTAAAAAATATTAATGAAATCAGTTTACAAAACTGACATATGATGGTCTCGAAATCCTCACTTGTACAAAAATGTATCAATTTCTTAATGATTTTCACTGATGCCCAAAAATTACAAAAAAAAAAGTATGTAAAAAAATATTACAACTAAAATACTATGACATAGATGGTTTACAATTTAGAATTATAATGACTCTAAAAAAATTTGGCAAAGTCAAAATACATGTTATTATAATCTACCCACCTTAAAAAATATCATCCCCAACATTTTCCTTAAGGATTTGAGCATAAAATCAATATCAATCAAATTCATATAATCAAAACTCAAATTAAATCAAAATCAAATCAAAACACATAAAAAATTATACATTTGTGTAGTTCATTCTATCACATATCATTCAATTATTTATGCAAACAAATGCACCTTAAACTACTCATTCTACCCAACTCTCAATTAATCCATACAACTCTTATAACAATTAATTCTTTCAATAACTATGCTTTAATACCAATTATGTTGCCCCATAATCTAAATTAAAAGAATTATTCTTTTAATCTTTCAATAAATAATAACCAGAGCTATCTAATATCATCTAACAGTTATAAATAACAAAGCATATTTTATAATTTAAAACATTAATGTATATATTTATATTCATTTTTAAAAATTATATACACTACTCAGGATCTACACAATCAAATTACCACTACTCTATCGTGAGTATAAAAAAAAAATAAAAAGAAATAAAATATGAAGAATCCTGATGAGCCTCACACTCCTCCCATGACCTGAAATTATTTAATCACATATAATGAACTTAAAAAGCCTAACAGATCACAAAAACTTATAACTAAATTTAAAGTATGACAAAGCAATAATATACATGTCAACAATCAAATCATAGCAGTTGCATTCATATGATCATTAAATTAGTACAAAAATAGTAAAATTTATATACAATTATTGTAAAATCTATAAATAGTAAAACACTACTTTATGAAAGCTAAAAAAATAGTAAACCAGAATAATTATCAAATCTATAAAGTAATTATTGTATATGTAATACCAATTAGTAAAAAAAGCATATAAAGCATCCAATCAAAACTTTAGTAAAAATCATTGAAATTAAATCAATTTAGTAAAATCATATCGAAAGGCATGCATGTTATCCAATTATTATATATCATGTGCTAAGTATATCACATGCTTAATATTAGTATAGTGAATCAATAGTATTAAATATTATTATTATCTATAAGAGTAATAGTAAAATAATATGAGCAATAAAATAATGTGATAATATTAAATTCGTGTTATAATAATAAATCCATACAATAATAAAAATAATGCCTCAGGAATATGTATTTAAGTAATCACACTAAACAAGTAAGAAGTCCTGGCTATCATGATGTTTTTCAGGGTTAGTATTAATGTTAGTAAACCATTGGTTTAATAAACAGAGTTATCGCTTTTTGTCTGTCGGCACAGTAATGATCTTTTTATAACTCCCAATCAGTGTATCACATGAATTAGTAGAGAATAACTTTTGTGACTTAGTTTTTAAATATATATTTTTATATCATGTGAGTTTTTAATGATATCAAAATATTATTGTATTGATTATTATTTTCTTCTAACACATATTGAAAAAGTCTTATTTGTATTGTTTGTGTGTACTAATATTTCAAAGAAATCATACTCCAAACTACTAAAAACATTAAGGTAGATTAGATTAGGGTTTATTGTAATTTAAGTATATATATTTTTTATTTTTTTTTAGTTTAAGAGTGTGTGATTGTAATTGGGTAACCGTGCACACACACACTAGGGGACTGAGTCAAAACTTGTAGTTTTTAAAACTAATCGTATTGTATGAATTTGTAATCGTACTGGAGGATTTGAACTAAGTGTTCCTTTAAAAAGTAGTTAGTAGAATCATGCCTTAGAAAATTTTGATTGTACTGTTCGTACTTTATAAAATTAGTATCGTACATACGACGTCTAGAGTATGAAATGGATACGTACCGGTTTGTCTCAAACAAACTCATCATTTTTTAAATTGATTGTATTATATAAAATAAGTTTCATACATACAACGTACATAGTACAAAATGGGTATGGGTGTGTATCAGTTCATTAATAGAACATGTAAATTTTTTTAATTATTCATACTATACGAAATTGGGTTCGTACAGACGATGTGTAGAGTATGAAATGGACTCATCCATTTTTGT